ATGGAAATTGTGTGTTGCCTCCGTTGAGTAGATGATACACTGTTCTGAGAATTCTGTTTTCCAGTGGTATTTCGGGTATGGTTACTGACATCTGCTTATTTTAATGGATTTTGACGTGTGTGGAAGTGGGACTGACTTGGTTGTGGTTCAGGCTCTGCATTTGTATCAGAGCTGCCACACAAGCGTATTTTACAAAGGAGCAAATTCTTGCTTAGGCTAAGTGTCGCCTTTCCACCTCGCGCTGTGTGTGGTCTGTTGTCTGAAGTATCGTGTTGAGGAAGTTGAGCAGTGACCTTGGAAAGAGGGAGGTGGGGAATCTGTGCAGAGATGGGCAGCTGGAAGAAGCCAGGACGCTCACAGCCATCAGCAGGGAGCTTTCATTTGTACAGCTTGAAGGTACAACATCTCTCTGGATTTTGGAAAGACGAAATCAGAAACGTGACGTAGCCTGAAGTCTTAGTAGTCCAGCTCATAGTCCTCTGCGTTCTTACATACGCTGTGTTCCCAGACCTTCAAGAGCCAACCTGAAGCCACTCTCGGGGGAGCTGTTCCAGATGTCCCAGCCCCAGGCCTCGTCACTCCTTCAGGGCCTGGGGTGAATGTTACAAACAGACCCCTATTTGTACTTTCTAATTCGTTGCTTGTTAGTGGCCTGGGCTTTTATTTTTTTTTAAATCCCCAAATAGGTAAAAGAGTGGAGACTGGAAGTTGTTTTCCTTTTGTCTCCCCCAGAGTATACTGCTGGGCGTGGCGTCCCCTCTGCTGCTGAGCTGGGGTCTTTAGCTGCCCCCAGGGTGGCGGGTGCTGTGGGCAGGGTGCGCTGCAGCTTGGAGCGCTGGGGCAGCTGGTGTCTTACAGGCGTTCCTTGAGCTCCCAGCCCTGCCCTAGGAGCTGGCGGTCCGAAAGTGAACAAGACCGAGTTCTTCCCTCATGGAACTTACATTCAGGTGGAGAGACTTGATAGCAAGCAGGATGGTGATACAGATAAAGATGGAGTGGTCTGAGGTCTCGACAGCCGAGGTGGGACTGCTCTTTGGGTGAGGGGAGACCCAAGTGAGGTGAAGGACAAGCCGTCAGAGGCCTGTAAGCAGAGTGTCCCGGGCCGAGGACGGCGGTGGGCAACCGCGGCCGTGAGAATGGGGTGAGGAGGCCGGTGTGTCCGAGAGGGGGTCAGGGAGCCCATCGGGCTGGGGCCCGTGGGGCCTGCAGGTGACTGAAAGCTGAGCGGGGACAGCCCCGTCTGATGGGCCGTCACCAAGCTTGCGCTGGCTGCTGCGGGGAGGGCGGAGAGGAGCGGAGGCGTTGCCGCGGGGTGTGTGTGTGTGTGAGATGGGTGGGGGGGACCTGGGCGCAGCAGCAGCAGGGCCATGATTGATGTGACTACATTCAAGGTAGGTTTTGAGTTAAGAGGGATATGAGGGGGAGGTCCAGGGTGATGCTTCGCTTTGGGGGCTGAGTAGCTGGGTCCCTGCTGGTGCTGCTGCGAGGACTTGGGGAGGAGCAGGGCGTTTGGTACATGCTGGCTCTGAGATGCCCGCCTGACGGTCAGAAGGAGCCGTGGAGCACACGGGGATCCCGGAGCCGCGGTTTGTGCAGGGGCCAGGGCGGGAGGCAGCTGTGTGAGCCGGGCTGGTGCAGCAGGGGGCTGCGTCTTCCGAGGGGTTCCGGGGGCTACAGACGGGCCTGGGGCGCTCCAGGTGCAGGAGAAAGGGGAGGAGGGAGCAAAGGAGACTCTGAGGGAGCACAGCGAAGCAAGACGAGGGGGAGGAAACCAGGAGAACACGGTGTGCTGGGTCTAGTGAAGACCGTGTTGCCAGGCGCAGGGAGCGGCCGCGTCGCAGGGGGCGTGGGGGCGCGGGATGGGGGTGCTGAGGCCAGCTGCTCCCGCCCCGGCCCTTCATCCTCGGAGCTCCCAGCTCGCGCGGCGTGACTGAGTGCCCACCGAGCGTGAGAATCCTGGCGAGGGCACGGGGCCTCTGAGTCTAGGGCGGTCGCACTGGTTTGGATACAGCTCACACACTGGCTCTGAGGGCACTTCCAGGAGGCATGAGTCCATTTCTGTTTTGTAAATAAGTTCATTTGTATCTGGATCATATGGTAGTTCTGTTCTTAATTTTTTGAGGAACCTCCATACTGTTTCCCACAGTAGCGACACCAGTTTACATGCCCACCAACAGCGCGTGAGTCCCCTTTATGCCGCAGCCTCCCCGGTGCTTGTTTTCCGGCTTTCCGGTAGTTGCCGTTCCGACAGCCGTCAGGTGGCGTCTCGTTTTGTTAACGTCGCGCGTCATGTTGGTTCTTGTGCAGACACTGACTGGCCTTGCCTCCCTGGAGTGAATCCCACTGATCGTGGCGTATGATCCTTTTAATGTGTTTGTTAGGCTATTGTTTTACTGAGGGCTTTTGCATTTATGTACTTGTACTTTCTTGTGTGTTGTCCTTGTCTGGCTTTGACACCAGGGTGATGCAGGCTTCATAAATTGAGGCCGGAAGCACTCCCTCCCGCTCGGTTTGTTGGAAGTGTTTGTGCTTCTTCGACTTCTAGGAGCGCTTTTGAGAGATGTCCTCTGCGTGCTTCCCATGGATCCTGTTGAAGCCCTCATCTCTGCTGTCGTGTACTTGAAAGGCAGATGTTTTTAATTTTGATAGAACTTACTAACTTTTTCCTTGTATGGATTATGATTTTAGTTTTATATGTATCTAAAAAATACTTAACTCAAAGTTACCAAGATTTTTCTCTTGTTTTCTTTTAGAAGTTTTTAGTTTGGGGTTTTACGTGTAAGTCTATTATTAATTTTCATTTAACTTTTATATGTGAGGCAAGGTATGGATTGAATTTCTTTGTTTTTGCATATGGATGTTCAGTTTTTCCAGCACCATTTATTGAAAAGGCTATTAAAAATTAGAAGTCCTTAAATAATATTATACTGCTTCAGGTGAACTGTCAGAACCCTAACGTGGTGCTTCTAAGAATGGTTACCTCTGAGCTGGTCTCTGCTGGTGACTTCACTGTCTCACTGTGGGCCTTTGCCCCTTGCTCTGTCGCCGCCATTTCTGACTGCGTGCTGTGCATTGTGTGTAGGCGGCAGAGCAGAGGTCAGCAGACCTCTCCTGTGATGAGCTAGATGCTAAATACTGTGAGCCTTGAGGGTCACGTGTGGTTTCTGTTGTGTATTATTCTTCTATTTTGTTTTGTTTTCTTTTAAAATAACCCTTTAAAATGTAAAAACCACCCTTAGCTCACAGCCTGTGTAGAGATAGGCCATGGGCTGCGTTTGGCCTTTGGGCCACGGGATACCAACCTCTGCAGAGGGAAGAGGTAGAGTGTTTCCACCTCTTGTTCTGCTGGGCTGTCGTGGGGCTTGGGCTGGGCTGGAATTTATTGCTGCTGTGAGCACCTGCCTGCACCGCTGGGTTCAGATTCCCCTCCTTCCCTGTGCTGAGCAAGAGGACTGAGTTGCAGCGTGCCTGTCTCCCTGTCCTGCTCCGGCCTCAGCTGCGGGCCGTCCCCCGGGTCTGTGCCTGAGGGCGCGCGCCCCTCCTGCCCTCCCCACCGCACACTGCTTGCCTTAGCTGCTTGCTGGGCTGCGGCTGCGGCTGCGGCTGCCGGAGAGGAGGGAGTTCCCTGCTGTTTGGTTCTGCATCTGAGTGGTGGGGCCTTCCCGGGGTCCTGTCCTCCTCCTGGGGCGGCCACTCTGCCCTGTGCCTTTGGGGTTTGGGGCTCCCCCAGCGAGGGAGAACTCTGAGGGTCTGGGCCCAGGGCGAGCAGGGTCTTTTCCTGCTGCTGCGCACAGCAGCCCTTGCGGTGCCCGGTTGCTCTCGTTGAGCAGGGAAGGGCGCGGGGGCCGTGGTGCTGGGGCAGTTCCCACTGAGGGTTCGTTCTGTCTCCTCATTCAATCCGCTTACTTCTGAAAAGGTCTTTGAAGTATAGAACTAAGAAGGCGGTGCTGATTTGGAGCCTGGTTCCCATGGCAGTGTCCAGTCGAGAAGGGAATCAGTGGCACTTAGCGGCTCCCAGCAGAGAGACGCGCAAGGAGGGCCCTCCTGCTGGGCTGGGGCTCTGTGCCGGGCGGCTGCTTCCGCCTAGCTGCTTTCCAGTGGCGGTTGTAGTGCACGCAGGGCTAGCGGGTCCTGCAGCTGCAGGGAGCGCCGCGTGGAAGAAGTGGAACGCGGCTTGACTGTTACAGCCGGTGACTTCGTGGAGGCCAGTGGCCCTGAGGAGAGGCTGTCTCTGCGTGGTCTCCGGGGGACTTGCTGCACTTGGAGTGAAGATGAAGTGATAACTTTTATGACAACCTTCTAAGTGGACAGAATTGTAGCAGACTACAGGAGAAGTCCTTGTATTCTTTTTTTTAAATTTTTTTAATTGAGTTATAGTCATTTTACAATGTTGTGTCAGATTCCAGTGTAGAGCACGATTTTTCAGTTATACATGAACATACATACATTCATTGTCACATTCTCTTTTGCTGTGAGCCACCACAAGATCCTGTGTATGTTTCCCTGTGCTACACAGCACAGTCTTGTTTATCTGTTCTACATTTTGAAATCCCAGCCTGTCCCTTCCCTCAAAGTCCTTGTGTTCTTAATCCAGCATTTTTCTGAGTAATACTTGAAGGTAGGGTGTTCCTGCATGGAGGATGGCTGTGTTTTGTCATGCTCCTCTTAGGAGCTAAGCTTTTGCATCAAGAAGTGACAGAGTTCTGGGACAGCCTGGAGTTTACTAAACTGTCACACCTGTCATTCCGAAAGGCCAGGCGCCCTCGAGGGGTGGCCCTGCCCAGGGCCCCGCAGAGGCCGTCTTCTAACCAGAGCTCTGCCTCTTGCCCCTAGATCCGGATGCAGAGGTGTGTCTCCACGTGCTGCGACTTGTCCAGTCCGTGGTTCTGGAGCCGGAAGTCTTCTCCAAGGCGGCGTCTGAGTTCCGGAGCTCCCTGCCCCTGCAGCGCATCCGGGCCATGTCTGAGAGCCGCAACTCCCACCTGCAGACCGCGGCCCGGGAGCTCTTGGAGGACCTCCGCGCTCTGGAGCACGACGTGTAGGGCCGTGCGACCTGGCCTGCCTGCTTCCCCCGGTCCCCGCGCTGTATTCGTTTCTAAAACCACCAGTTGTGTGCCCCAAGCTACTGGTGGCAAAGTGTGATTGACTAGAGATGGATGTGAATTGATACGTATCTCCAGAACTTCCTCCTGGAAGGGAACATACTTGTGGGTCGACCTTGCCAGAGGGGAGCCTGGGATAGGGGACATTCTTCTGGAAAGGCCCATGTCAGCGCGCCCAGAAGGGGCTTCTCGTAGCAGCTCCCCTGCCCAGGAGACTCAGACCTCTAGGCCCCCCAAGAAAAGAGGGAGGTTAAGTAACCACCTACCCTGCTGGTCAGCGTTTCCCTGGGATACAGTTTTTGGAAAACAATTCATTCTCTCTCTAATAATTACAGTTAATCCTCCCAAATTCAAGTTTACCTTCAAACCTTTTGGTAAACCTGCTATTTCGGATGACATTGGACATTTTAGTTCCATATTTTTGTGCCGCTTTTATTTTTGAATAAAGGAAGTTGGAAGAGTCATTGGTGTGCTTCAGCTGTTGCGTTAGAAACCTAGTATTAGGCAGTTGTGTACTGTAATGCACACACGTGGTTGGTAGAAAAAGCTCTCCTTACGTTGTTTGTTTTGGGCCCTTTGGCTGTATACTCAGAAGTCCGGTTTTTCATAAAACAATGTCACGGAAAGGGCCTCAGAGGTTAAAGCGCGTGCATGGGTGTGTACCAGGCCCCTCACCCTGCGGCTCCTTCTCAGCTGCATCTGGGCCCCTGGCGGAGAACAGAGGGGGCCACACTTCACTTCTCACGGATGCCAGGACATGTGAGGATGGAATTCCATCTCGCTCACTCCTTAGAGTCACAGCAGCACGTGCGTGTCCCTCAGTGTGACACTGTAGGCGCCTGGGCTCTGGGCCTCCCGTAGGAGCAAAACCGAAACCCATGTACGTTGTGCGCTCTTTCTGCCGCGTGGGGCAGTTTAGAATAACCGTTTTTCTTCTCTGTAGGTTTTATGGGCAGTGTGCGGCTCACGGCTGAGGCGGAGCGAAGCAGCTTACAACGAGGCAGAGTTGCTTGAGTTTCAGGAGCCGACATATTGTGGAGCCTGGCTCATCAGGGCTGGAGGAACGTCGTAAGAGGCAGTTTAAAATTCGAGGCAGAAATCGGTCCGTCTGCTGCGTTGGTTCTGATCATCGGCGAACAGCGTTGAGGGTGTTGCGTTTGTGCTTTGCTAGCTTCAGCTGTTTGTCTGATAAGGTAGCAGGAGATTAGCTAGTATAATTAGTTCTGACTCTAGAAATGCAGGGTCTTTTTCTGCCAAGGATGGGATCAGTGGCACACAGAGGAAAATGAAGCTGGGCCAAACTCGTGAACGTTGTGTAGTTTAGCTAATTAGTAGAGGGAACGTGACGAAAAAGGGTAAGTTTTTCCTCCTAAGTTTACAGTGCTAAGGCTAGCAGGAGTTCCTACGAAGACTCCTTTAGGAAGGAACATATGTCAAATACATGCTGGGAATGTGTGTCACTGGAAAAGTGCTAACGGCCAATTCTAAGAAGTGACTGGCCTTTCTAATGTTTTTGCTCTTCTTATGGAGGTCAAGGGGAAAACATGGATTCTCCAATTTGTTTTACATCTAAAGGTCTAAAAAACTCTCAGTTTTGAAAGTATGCATAAAAGCGTGTATGTGGCAGTGTCTGGGTGTCTTGTGCATTTTAAAATCAGAAACAGAAGCAGTAAAATGGTACATAGGTTTTTTTTTAATTTAATTTTTGAAGAGTTCCTTTTCTGTTTAAGTTAAGAAACTTTGTCTCCTTGGTGCTGTCAGTTTGTGTGTAAAGGCCTGAGCCTTCCAGGCTGACAGCCGGACTTCGCCCGCCCCCGCCGGCGATCAGGGCGGCCCCTCGCCGTCAGGTCGCTCGTGGCCCATCCAGTTGGTGCTCCGTGGGGCCTGAGGAGCAGACGCTCGCTAGGATGCAGATCAGCGCGCTTGCTCGTGGTGCGAGTGGGGATAAGCCTCGCATTGCAAGGAGTTCTCGTCCCAGATGCTTGTGTAGCCCCGTGCCTTTCGCTTGTTCAGGGATCTCCAGGCTAATTAGGGTGCCAAGCATAGCGTCACAAGTCTGGGACTTGAAGAAGATAGCCGAGGCCTGAAGTCAGACCACAGGCAAGGAGGGGTTTTAGGAGAAGTCGTAAATGTGCCTGTTACCCTGGTCCTGCCAGGCCTGCCATTAGCTGTACGGCATGATGTTAATATGAATGCAGACGATTGAGAAACACTTGTAGGCTTGCTAGTTTTCTGAGAAGCCTCGAAGCTGACGTCTGCTCTGTTTCCGTCCGTGACGTAGGTGCTTAGACCGCTGCGGGAGGACTTCTCTGATGCAGCGTCCTGTAGGGAGCACAGCCTCAGGAGGCGCAACGAACGAACCCATTAAATGGTCTTTGAATACTTTTCAAGTCCAGGCCTGGATCGGGAGAGCAAGGGACAGCTGGTCCACCTTCTTCTTTTTCCTGGGGTTCATCTTCAAGGCCCGGCTGTCTCTGCTCTGAGAGTGTGCACAGTTGTTGGTCTTCAGATGTCGAAAGCAGAGGCCTTTTAATGTGCCAGTGCATGTTACACAGGGAAGACTAATACTGTCTTTTTTTGTTGCCGTTATTTGTAATCCTCAAGTTTTTTGAATTGTAAAATTTACCACAGAAACATAAATAGTGAATGTAAAATTTACCATTTAAGCCATTTTTAAATGCACTGGCATTAAATATACTCACAGAGTTGTGCAGCCGTTAGCCCTGTGTTTCCACAGCGCACAGAAGCTGTGTACCCGTTCATCTTCCAGCTGCCCTCCTCCCGCCCCCGGTACCCTGTGTTCCGGTCCTATGAACTTGAGTTCTCAAGTACCTCATAGAAGTGGAATCAAATATTTGTCCTTCTCTGACTGGCTAATTTCACTCAGCATAAAGTCTTCAAGGTTCACCCATGTTATAGCAGGTGTCAGACCTTCATTCCTTTTTATGGTGCATGAAATTCCCTTGTGTCTGTGTAACACGTTTTGTTTGTCTGTTCATCTGAGGATGGACAAGGGTTTAAGCTTTGGCTGTTGTGAGTGCCGCAGTGATCGTAGGTTGTACAAGTATCTGAGTCCCTGCTTTCCGGTCTCTTGGGTGTATACCTACGTGTGAAACTGCTGCACCATATGGATTAGGGTTTTCTCTCTACATAAAATCGCATTGTCTGCAAATAGTGATATTTTTACTTTTTCCTTTCCAATTTGGATGCCTTTTATTTCTTTTTCCGCCTGATTGCCCTGGCTAGGACTTTCAATACTATGTTGAATAAGAGTGGTGAGAGTGGGCACCTTTGTCTTGTTGCCGATATTAAGGGAAAAGGCTTTTTCACTGCTGAGTATGATGTTAGCTCTGGGCTTGTCGTGTATGGCCTTTATAATGCTGAGGTGCGTTCCGTCCATGCCTACTTTGTTGAGAGTGTGATAAATGGATGTGGGGTTTTGTCATGTGCTTTTTCTCCATCTGTTGAGATGATCATATGATTTTTATTCCTCCATTTGTTAATGTGATGTATCACATTGATTAATTTGTGGATATTGAGCCATCCTTGGCATCTTCAAATAAATCCCACTTGATCGTGGTCAACGATCCTTTTAGTGTGTTGTTGAATTTGATTTGCTAATATTTTGTTGACGATTTTTGCATCTGTATCCAGGGATACTGGCATGTTACTTTCCTCTTTTTGTGATATCCTTCTCTGGTTTTAGTATCAGGGTAATACTGGCTTGCAAATAAAACGAGTTTGGGAGCAGTCCCTCCTCTTCAGTTTTTTGGAAAAGTTTGATAAAGATAGGTATCAAATTTTCTTTGAATGTTTGATAGAATTCACCAGTGAAGCCATTTATTTGGTCCTGGACTACTGTTTGTTGGGAGGTTTTTTTAATTACTGTTCAGTATCCTTACTAGTAATCAGTCTGTTCAAATTGTCTATTTCCTCATGATTCTGTCTTAGAAGATTGTGTTTCTAGGAATTTATCCATTTCTTCTAATTTGGGCTAATTTTAATGCCCAATTTCTTGGCATGTGATTGTTTGTAATAGTTTCTTACGATCGGTTGCATTTCTTTGGTGTCAGTTGTGATTTCTCCACTTTCATTTCTGGATTTATTTATTTGAGCCCTCTCTCTCTTCTCTCTCTCTCTCTTCTCTCTCTTTTTAGTGAGCTTATCTAAAGATATGTCAATTTCATCTTTTCAAAGACCAGCTCTTACTTTCATTGATCTTTTCTATTGTCTTTTTGAGTCTCTATTTCATTTATTTCCATTCTGATCTTTATTATTATTTCCTTCCTCTGTTAACTTTGGGTTTTGTTTGTTCTTCTTGTTTTAGTTCCTTTGGGTGCAAAGTTGGCTTGAGAGTTTTCCTGTGTCTCGGAGGGGACTGTGTCACTATGAGCGCCCTTCTTAGTGTATTCCAGAGGTTGTGATACATTGCATTTATGTTTTCATTTGTCTCAAGGTGTTTTTAAATTTCTTCTTTATTTGTTGATCCATTGGTTGTTCAGGAGCATTTTGTTTAATCACCACATGTTTGTAATTTTTCCAGTTTTCTTCTTGTAATTGATTTCTAGCTTCATACCATTGTGGTCAGAAAAGATACTTGATATGGCTTTAATCTTCTTAAATTACTAAGGCTTATTTTGTGGCCCAGCAGGTGATCTATCCTGAAGAATGTGGCATGTGCACTTGAGAAGAACGTGTATTCTGCCGCTTTTGGATGGAATGTTTACATATACCTATTAAGTTCATCTGGTCTGATGTGTTGGTTCAGGCTGGTGTTCCCTTATCGATTTTCTGTCTGGACGGTCTGTGCACTGATGTAACTGGGGTGTAAAGTCCCCCACACGTACTGTGTTGCTGTCAGTTTCTCCCTTTGGA